TGTCCAGCAAGAGTGTCTAGCAGAGTGTCAAGCAAGAGTGTCCAGCAGGAGTGTCAAGCAAGAGTGTCAAGAGAAAGTGTCAAGAGAAAGTGTCAAGAAAGATTGTCTAGCAAAGAGTGTCAAGAAAGAGTGTCAAGCAAGAGTGTCGTGTCAAGAGTGTCCAGCAAGAGTGTGAAGCAAGAGTGTCCATCAAGAGTGTCAAGCAAGAGTGTCAAGAGCAAGTGTCAAGAAAGATTGTCTAGCAAAGAGTGTCAAGAACGAGTTTCAAGCAAGACTGTTTAGCAAGAGAAAGTCTCGTGGAAAATGCTCGTTTTTGGAAACTTTGATTGTCGCTTCTGGTGAAAGTCTCGTGAAAAATGCTTGCTGCAGCTTTTGATGCGCTGGCGCTGCTTCTGATGATGACTTTGCAAGTCATCCAAAGAAGAGGTTTTGATTGATACACTTTTGTGCCTTTGCATTCTCCTCTATACATGAGTGACTGCATTCGGGTTCGTGGGTTCTATCAGGTTTCTTAAGCCCGCTCCCCCTGGTAGCTACTAGACTAAGTTCGCTCCTAGGTAGGACGCAGGATAGCTCACGCTTCTTCAAGGAAGCCCCCGCCGCCCTAAAGGCGGCTGGCGGGAGCTTCCTTGAAGAAGCGCTGGCACTAATGATTTGGTTCCTAGATTTTAGAAAAACTTAAGCATTTCTAGTGCCCCACATCTCAGTTTCATAGCAAACCAAGAAGCGGACTCGGCCTTGCGGCTGACTTTGCTACAGCAGCATTGCCGTTCATTTGCATAAAGCCAGGCATGAAGCCCATGCCCATTCCCATACTTCCCATGCTTCCAACAGTTCCCATGCTGCCGCCCATCATGGGCATTGGCACCTCTTTGTTCGGATCCTCAGCGCCCAAAGCATCCCTCTATATACCATCGATATAATACATCTCGCCAAAATCATCTTCTTCCTCTGAAATACGCTGGTGTGTGTGTGTGTGAGTGTGTGTGTGTGTGTCACTCTGGCATGTAGAGCTATTCTGGGCTAGGATCCTCTTCAAGGAGGTCGAAAGCTTGCGGCTTGCTTTCTTCGTTTAGAGTGACGGCCTTGGAGAATCAAGAGCTTCCCATGCGATCTGATACTGCTCGTTCACTGCTACATACTGCGTTGAAATCAGGAACCAAATCCATTGGCTAGATGAATGAATGCTCACATCAAACAATATGAAAAGGCAATACCAGCAAACAAAGCACAACAAGACATGCTGGCATAACGGCTTAACAACCCTGTAACGAGGCCCGGGCAAAGTTCACCTGCTGCCCCTCTTTGAAGCTACCAACCTAGATCGGCTAGCACTTGGTCGCTCCGTCTGTAAGGCAAGGCTTGCTGTGGAAACGTGCAGAGCCTGCTGGATGAACACCACAACGTCGCATCCAAAGACGGAGTTCAGCTGTGGGCAATCAATCAAGCCAAGTCCTAGTTCCTTGGTCCATCAAAATCATTGTCGGTCTCCAATATGTACCGCTAAAAAATCTAGGAGCAATTTGAATTTTCCAAATGGTGCAAGCGCTTCAAGGAAGCTCCCCCCGCCTTCAGGCGTGGGGAGCTTCCTTGAAGAAGCGTGAGCTTTCCTGCGTCCGGAGCCTACTAGCTACCTCTTACTACTTGTTTGCTTACCATTCTACGGCCTAAACACCCCCGGGCGTTAAAAAGGACTTACTTTTATATCATAAGAATGGGCTGTGGCTTCATATTCCGTCATCGCCCAAGCGGCTGTATTCAAGTTCTTGATTGTGCCAGTACATCGAGCACCTCTGTCGGTGAGTGCTTTGGTTGGAGCAAAGGTCAAATCCTGAGCAAGGTAAGCTCCACTTGCTTCAAGTCTGCTTGTCGGAACATCGAAGCTAAACTGAGCCATATATGTATATAGATACAAGAGATGCGTAGGCAGACTTAGAGAGGAACCGCGACCGAGACTAGCAGCGAAGAAGATTCCGACAAGAAGCGGCTAAGCCGAGTGGGAAGATTGAACTAGTGCTGCCTTTGCTGAAGAATGGTATATAGCAAGAACGAATAGCGGGAATTGTTATGGTCAAGGACGAAAGGACAAACGAAGGGATAGAAAGAGGAAGCTGGAAAGACAGATCAAACTATAGAGAAACAAAAAACACTAGTGAAGGACAGGAGTGTTTTTGCAAAGTAATTTGTGACACAAAGTAAGCAGTGATGAAAGTTGGAATGGAAAATGCAAGAAAAGGAGACAGGGGAGGTAACTAAACAAGAGTAACAAGAGTATATACTAACAATGGCTTTAAGCCAAATTATCTTGCAAAGTGGCAGGAATTGCCTGGGTCACCAGTGCAGGGGCCAGCTCTGGCTTTTCTCGCAACATGTCCACAATGATGGTGCCCTCAGACAAGAGCGCTAGGCTTTCAAACAAGAAGAGAGGATGTGGCAATCAGTGGCTAGCATGCCCATGTCAACGAAGTGTCACAAGAAACACAATTGCAAACGGGCATCCAGAGTTTGGTCATCCAGGGCGTTCAACTGCTCAAAGACAACATTCTCCATTGCTGGCACACTACGCACAGCTTTTTGGCAAGGCTCCGGATGGTCGCTGCCAGTGTGAGAACGGTACAACATGCTTTCAGGAACTCTGCCCGCTGTCTCTTCTTAGCAAATAGAAAATATCTGCCTCGAGGACTCGAGGATAAACCAACACCCCACTTGCTGCGTCAGCTCGGATTAAACAAAATAATGTGCTCCAAATGACAGCCGTTCGAGCCTGAAAGTCAACTGCAGTTAAAGTTTGCTTGAATTGACCTTGACAGGCGGTCTATTGTGTCTAGTCAAGGTACGAAGCGCTCAAGTTCAGTCTCTCAGGCTCAATTCCAGTTTAAGCCTCTGAGCGTGACCGCTCGTTGTTGATGTCCCATACCTTTCAACCAAATCAACAAAACGTCATCATCGCAGAACCTCAAACACACAATCATGCGAAAGCCGAGGCAGACACATCATGTTTTTTCCTGCGCCAATCCTTTGCCCCACTGGCAAGGGAGGCCTGCTCCACAAACTGCAATTAAAGACAGGGCCATAGCACTCTTTCAAAGGAAATCAGCCTCACTCGGCTTCAAAAAACAAAAATAATGCCGCCATCGTGTAGGCCATTTGAGAAGCTCCTGTCAGCTCAAGGAGAAACTCCACTCAAGGCTTTCTGACCGCCTTCGGTCCTGGTAAAAGTTGTCGCACACGGCGTCTTTGGGGAAAATGGCAACCTGCTTGTTAAGATACTAAAGCCACGCCGTTGTTTCTTGCTATCACTATAAGGATCTACAAGGTGTGAGAAACTTGCCTTTGGCCGGGGGTCATCGAAATAGTTGTCCAACATCCGGAGCATGATGAGGGTCTGCAACAACCAAGGGAAAATGGCTGTAGATAATAGGCAGGCATTGGTGCACTACACTACGGAAAGCTTGCCATCTCAAAATGATGCATCATCCAAGCATGAATCAGCATGAATCCAAGCAACAAAAGGCCTTGCCAGTCCCAGTTGCGTGATCGACCAGCAGGCGCTTGGTTGGGCTGTCAGGATGCAGCAAGAAGGCTGCGGATTCCTCGACAGCAGCACTCAAACACACTCAAAGAGTCTTGGGCTTACTAAATCTCCTCGTATACTCATATAGGTCATATAAGTAATACCAGCAAGAGTGGAAGAAAGCTGCTTCTTTCAGATTTCTCTCCCTATGCCGTCTCATAGGGGCGGCCGGACACTCACTTGCACAATACACGTTTCACTCACTTTTGCACTTTGACTCACTTGCACACCGCTTCAAGTCCCTACCATTTGCGTACTTGTTATACCTGATTACAATCATCATCTCCCGTTGGGTGGGTAACTTACAACCATTCTTCAAATGCACCAGCGAGTGCTCAAGTGCTCGCCCCGTCGTGTCTTCTTCTCATATTTGATTCGTCTCTGAGTCTTCATGTTGACGCCTTTGACGCCTTGGAGCTCTCCTGATGGAGCCGCATCTTCAGACCCACAAAGGGACTTTTAGAGCTGCCTAAAGCGGCTTTGGCCTCAATCAGCAGCACGTTCTTCGCGTACTGCGCTCAATGTTTTCTTCAAGAAGTAGGTTTGGCTCACTTTGTTCATCCACTTGTGTACTTAGTTATGTCTTGGTTGATTCGAAACATATCAGAGCATTCACTTCAAATTATTGAGTCGAACTTTTTGAGCTTACCCGCGCAGCTCTCAGAGTTCCGGACAAGGCAGTTCGAAGCGTAGCTCGCAAAGGCCTTGGCACTCAAAAAGTGTCAGAGCTTCTTTCAGCCTGCAAGCGGTGCCATTGGAGGTCATTGGGCCTCTTCTCCCGGTCTCGGTCCCGGTGTCTTCCAAACCTGACTTGTGCAGACCAGCAAGGAGAAAATCAATTAAAGCAACAGACAAAGTCCTAGCAACATCAAACTCAGGCATCCATCTGCCTTTGGCATCTGCAAAGCTCCGACAGGCTCCCAATCAAACTGGCGCAAAATAACAGCAACAAACCATATCTTTCACTCCAGGAAGCTATTCAAAGCCATTTGTAGCTGCATGGCCGAACTGCCTCCTCATCGTCCTTCTCATCGTCAATGTCTTCTGCAACGCTGTGCAGCAGGCATAATGCTGTGAGCGGAAACAAAATGTTTTCTGCAGAGTAGAGACTGAGCGCCTTCTTCGGAGAAGTCTGAAACCTGAAACTCCAAGGCTGGACTAAGTCGGCCAAGTGATCACTTGCGTGTCTTGGTTAGGGCCTCCTCCTCCCCTTCAAGCTCTTCCGCATCGAAAACCAAGTCCTCATCCTCCTCCTGCAAACCCGCAAAAGTACCCCTCTCCCAAAAAAATTAGAGAGCATTGCTGTTCCGCATGAGTCCTCTTCTTCTTGAAGTTTGCCTTCTGTCTTCCACATACTTCACACTCAAGAGTACTGAAAGCATGCCCACTCTACCCGCAGCCTTCTGCTTTCTTCACTTCGTTCAGCTTGGAACTGCTTCCTTCCATGCTTTCCTTTGCTTTCGGCCTGGCCGGTGGCATACCCAAAGAAGTCCAACAATGCTCCTCCAGTGTCTTTTCCGGGGAAGCCTATCCGCATTGACCATTCATCCAAGCGTGTGATTCTAAGGCAAACGAAAAGCCCGAGGTGCCGGTGTTTTCCTTCAGCTTGAGGCACCTTGCAAGGCACATGTTCGAGCAAGTGATCAATGCTGTCGTGTTACGGTTGTGCGGGCACCTTGCTCACTGGGGTCTGATCGGGAAAAATGGACACCCCACTGCACTGGGGAAAGCTCATTATGGCTGGCTACAATCAGAAGGCAGTGGCCGTGAGCGGGAGAATCATGAAGAACTTTAAAGTGGCTACTGAGGATTGGCTCACAGGATATTTGTATAGAGGCTTAGAGGCCGCTTAGAGGGCGTCAGGGTTGGGATGAGGTGATGAGCGGGAAGGATCCGGTGTTGGCTGTGACAATGCAGATCGGCACCAGAATTCGAGAACGACGATCAGAACTCACGTTCTTTGCGCTGCCTTGCATCAGGTAAAATGAAGCATTTGCTTCGCACCTCGCTTGCCTTTGACAAGTGATTAGTGAAACCTGAACAAAGCGTCAACTCGATTATTGAAACCCTTTGAACTCTGAAAACTGAAACTAGAATCGTGGACAAATATGCGTCAGGCAAAGCAAATGCTTTGCTGCTTTGCTTCAACCATCCTCCTGCCCCCGCTTCTTTGGCAGGGACAATCAACTTACAGCATCAGCTGCGTGTTCAAAAAGCACCAGGAACCTGAATAGCTCCCTCTAAAGAACTAGCCTGTGCTTTCCTACAAGAGCTCCTGGTGCAGCAACGGCCCAGGTCTCCCCGTAATTTCGAGGGAATAACATGGATAAGAACGTGGAAGTAAGGATTCTGCCCTCTTGCCGGAAGTCCAAGCATTCAAAAAGGTCTATGACCTCTCGCTCCCTCAAGCCAATCATTATGTCCTTGATCATGGTTTCAAACTCCACAAGGGAGATCTCACTGTCATGATCCAAGTCAAAATGCTGCAGCAGTTTTGGCACATCCGCTGCCGTAAAGCCATGATTGGCCAACTGCTTTCTCAACTTCCGTACGGCCAAGACAGCGCTTCGCTGAGCCCATGCAAGCGTGAAGGCACTGCCCAGGATGCCAAAGGGTATCGAAAGGTACAAAAGGCTCGCAAAAATCAAGATCGACACAAAGACTTTTCCCTGGGATGTTTCTGGAGTTAAGTCACCATAGCCGAGTCCTGTCATGGACACCACGGTCAACCAAAGAGCTGTAGGCCAGTCGGGGATGTTGCTTCTGGGCTCGAAAACGAAGAACAAAGAGGCAAAAGTTGTGGCCATAATTGTCAAGACGAAGATTAACATCGGCAAAGCCTCAACAACAGCCCACCAGGCACTTAGAAGTACCTGGAAGGTTTGAAACCGTCGGAGGAGCTTCAAGAGCTTCAACGTGGGAAAGAAGCACAGCAAAATTGTGCTCCAGACACCATCGTCAACGTTCAACTCAATGCCATTGGCCACCCTGATGATCAAGGATGGGATCACTGACATGTCTATGATGTTGTAAGCATTCAAGAAGAAGTTTGACAACGTTGGCCATGCCAGCAGGCGCACTAAAAGGTCTACAGCAAAGACAATGTCGAAGCCGAAGTCCAGCACCCACATTGAAACATCAGATTCAAGAAAAGATACTTGGAAAAGGGATAGGAACACTGAAAGTATGATCAAACAATTCATGCAAAATCCATACCACCAGGCCGAGTCTGAAGAGTTGCCATCCTCGAGGAAAGTGTATACTGACCGCTTCAAGAAATGCCTTTCATAAATCTTCTTGCCCACAGAGCTGGACAAAACATGCACCGCAAAAAGAGATGGATGTGATGGTTGTGATGTCGTGGTCTGTTGAACACGAAGTTTTGGCTTCATTTCACTGCTTTCCGAGGTTGAACAGCCCAAGCTTCTGCTGGGTGTGCTTGGCTCCTAGCAGCTCGAAAGGTGAACTCAGAAAGGTCAAACCATGCTACCATGTCGATAACTGCTCAAAGGCAGAGTAGGCGTTCACTGTGTATTTGCAACAACATGTCAACATGTCCAAAAGGAAACCATGTTACTTGGCCGGGCCGCCTGGCCTGGGTTCTTCCAAAAGGAAACCGCGGAATCTCAGCAAATCGTGGCGACACTTCTGGAGGCTTTCGATTCATCGGGCTCTTCTCCAGACTGAAGGCACTTCCGAATCCTTGGTTCCCAATGAAACCAGGTGTCACAAGTGCAAAGAAGAAAGAGAATGTCCTTCTCCCAGTTTTCCATGCGAGTCGAATGACAGGTATCATAAAATTGAAGTTGAGCAAAAGGAACTCCTGAAACCTCTTGAACTATTGACCTCTGTCAGTTCTATCCCATCATGAGGACTGAAAGCTTGGATTTGTTTATCAATTACTGGTACTGAAAAGTGAGAACCGATAAACAGAAAAGGAAAAGCGGACTGTACTGAAGTGTGGATCCATTTTGCAAAATCTCGAGAATGTCTTCGACAATCCCAGAGACTTCTCCCAGCTTCTTCTCGAGAATGTCATTCTGCAAAGCTGTCTTGTCAGTCTTTTCTTCCACTCGATGCAAGGCCCGCTCAATCTTCCGGGTCACCTCAGAACCTTCCAGAGATGGACCTGGAGAAATTTCACCGCAGGACACCAGGTAAATATCAAGTCTCCCTAAGTCGTGGAATACCCGTGCATATCAACGCGTATTCATGTAAAAGAAAAAACATTTCAACGTACAGCTGCGCATGCTTCTTTTGCATTGGATGCACAAAATTATGTGGACCGTTTCAATTGTCCACACATTTCTTCATTACCAGTCTGTTGCTCTCAGAAACACCTATTTTCTTACCATCCACATGCCTGAACTTTGGCTGCTGGGCTTAGGAGAGGTTTGACGACTCCAATTCAGCTGTTCAAGCGTGGATCCGCGGCAGGAGCGGCTTCTCAGCCTTGTACCCATGACGTTGCTCTCTGCCATGGCTGAGAGGCTAAACCCGTTGAAGTAACAAGCGGCTTGGTTTTGTCAAGGCTGTTGAGGCACCAAAGAAACGCATCAATTCATCCTGAACAATCGGTTGTATAAAACTGCAGAAGCTTCTAGAAGGAATGATTTGTATTCTGAGAGAAAGTTTGTCTTTGTGGAGGATTCCTCCCGGAAATCAAGGAAGAAGAACCGCCAGAGCCACCAAGAAATACCAAAAGCCACCAAAAGTGAGGGAAGCCACAGGAAGCCACTAAGAGCCAACAGAAGCCACAACAAAAGCCACAAGAAGCTACTAAAAGCAAACAGAAGCCGGAAGTGATATATAACAAGCCACCAGAATCCAGAAACCATCAGATACCAGAAAAACAAGTGCATGGAAGTACAGATCTGCCTACTAAAGCGGCTCTGTTACACATTCTGCACAGCTTTTCCAGCGAACCAGTGCCTTGGAAACTCCTGTTGGGTCCACCTTGGAAACAGCCTAGGAGATGCAACACAAATCTGGTTCATATATTGCGGTCGGATTGTTGTATCCAAAGTACAGATCAGTCATCAGCTTTGATAAACTGTGCAACTTCACTCAGCTCAGAACAGGTGAGGACCTTTCGGGCTGCTGGAGTGCTGGCTGCACTGCGGGCTGATCAGCTTCTAACCTGTGCGTAGGCTTCATGCCATCGAGGCATGCAGCCACATTCCAACCATCACAAAAGAAGTGTAGGGAACTGGCAAGTACAGGGGGTTAGCTAGAGGCAGGTAGCTTGGAGGCGGGGGAAGCTTCCTTGAAGAATAGCTTGCACTAATGATTTCCAGATTTTTGGGGAAACTTAAGCCATGAATCCATGAAGACATCTACCTGTTGGTACCAGTTGCTGTCACGTGCAATCCTGGTCACATTTTTGGTAGAGTGTAGCCTCTGAGCTGGAGCCCAAACCTTGGGTCGAAGTTTGAGGAATATTGCTAGCACTTTAAACAGAAAGAAAACCATCCAGTTCTCACATATTCTATATATGTTGGTAGGTGGCAACCGAGAAGGCTTTGCCAGTCATACTGTTGATTCACGAGAGCTCTAAGTAGAGCGTACACCACACAATTGCAGCAAAAGTATGTCCAAATGGGTGGGTGTCATGGTGTTGTGGTCCCGGTAGGTCCTGAAAAAGTACAAATTGCGATGTTTGACCTTTCTTACGGGTCATGGGTTCGTGTCCCTGCACATACACCCACAGGTCGTCCATGAAGAGAGTGTTGCCCGTCAAGCCTGGAGCTTGAAGCTGGGATAACATCCTGGAAACTGCTGTCACCACAAGAATTGTGCATGACAATCATGACAGCTTCATTAAACTGCTCTAACTTCGAATTCTCAGCACCAATTAAGCGCATCCTTGGACGAACAAGTGCGTTTTGGCTTGGTCTCATCCTGCAACTGAGGCAACAAGGCATGAAGGCAACTCGTAGGTAACTCCAAAGTCCAAGACAGAAGACACAAGGTTTCACAGCTAGTAAACGTGCGATGCAAACCGAAATTGCAACGTTTAAATTGCATGCCCAGCCTGTCCTTTGTTGAGTGCATCGGACGCTTTGCAGCTTGCTTTGCTTGCCGCTGGGGAGTGGCTTGAGGTTTTCGACTTAAGTTTGAAACCAAGACGTTTCTCACTCCATCCTTCAGCTCCACTTGCCATCGTTTTCGTTCATCATCATAGGAAAGTAGAGTCCCATGTTGACCATTCAACTTTGCAAAGGATTGCAATCCCACCAGGCAAACAGCATCACCAGGCGAAAACTCTGCAAAGGTCTTCAAGTTGTCTTCTTCTTCTCTGGACACTTTGGAACCCCTTTTTGCAGAGAGTCTTGAACTCTTTGCCTTCGCCTTCACCTTTACCGTGGCCTTTGCCTTGGCTTTGGCCTTGGCCTCAGCAACGCGAGTTTGCGCTTCGAAGGGATTTAGAAACTGCCCAAGAGCCAGGCCACCATTGGCGCCTTAGGGAAGATAGTGGGAGAGTTAGACGGCCCCCCGCACATTTTCACAGCTGAAACATAAGCTTCAGACGAGCGAACAGCTTTGGAAGCTTTAGCAGCTTTGGCAGCTTCGCTTTCTCTGGCTTCATAGATCTACAGATTATCCAGCATTGTCTTGACTTCGAAGCAACATGCAAGAGTGAGTGGGCAGTCACATACTAATACTCATTTGTTATATTTCTGATGTATTGTACCCCAGAAAGAAAACCACATTCAGACACGTTCTCTTGACAATCACTGGATCGATTTGCTGTGCTTGAGTGGAAGTATTACACCCTTGAAGACTGTCCATCATGCTCTGCGTCATGGTATTGAAACACATTTCAACCACAATGGCTCAGCACTGCAAGTATGCAAAGAAACAAACTTCAAGTAACCTACACTGGCATTGAATGGGAGACCCACGAAAAAGATCAATCTTGCATTGCAGTACACAAATGGATGTTCAGTTGAAAGGCATCACGGCTCCAGTTCGCCCGCAAAGAACGGCCTTGCAAGGTGACACGTCAACAAGATCTAAAAAACCAAGAATGGCAAGCCTGGACAAATGTGTTGCATCAAGCCTGCTGCAAAGGCACCAAGTACACAGGCAAGCGTTCTCGCAGAGAATGCCTTTCAAGATGTGCAAAGTTTTACCAAGGCTTTTCAGATGCTAACGAATCAAGACCACCGCCTCTGTTTTCCAGGATTCAAACGGTCTCAGGACAAACTGACTGTGTACATGCCTCGCACAATCAAATTAGATTGAATCAAAAATAATCAGGAATTTGTGAGCAGCCTTGAGCTCACAGGAGCTGAAGATGATGATGCCTGAAACCAAAAATGCAAGTGCAGAAACAGTTTGGATAATATGTTTCATAGTGCATGAACACGAATCATAGTACTTGGCAGGCTTGGAACCCTGCTGTAGCCACGAACATGTTCAAGCTGCGTCAAATGAGCCAATACTTCAGCGAACAAAGTTCCCTTGCCAAAATGGCCCATTGTGGTTTCTTGTCATGCGTTCTCCCTCGTACAGACATTGCGAAATTGCGACTACCCAATTGGAACCAAGATTGGCAGAACAAAGCATCGACCGATTACACTATGGTGACGACTCAGAACTGTGAACTAACAACGAGTGCACTAAAGAATGTGTTTGGATGTGCTTGGTCCATGAGTTTCCCCATGCACATAAGTCCAACTGTGCCGCGCATGTTGATTGAAACCAAAAGAACGTCATGGATTGAATCCTATGCATGAAACAGCGGCATTCCAACTGGAGTGCCCAAACCACTCACTTAGCACTACAATCATTGCACTCAGTCCAATCGTGTGTGTTGCGCTGGGCAAATCAAATTTGTCATTAAAAAATGAACAAAGAGAAACCGTACCAAACCTAGAACAGTGCAATGCCTCTGATGCCACGTGAATCCTGTACTTAAAAACACTCTACTTTAACAAATCATTGCTTTTTCAAAGCACCAATGTCTATTGACTGGCTACGCGATGGAACCATGTTGGCCCTGCATTTGACATCCATTCATTTGCGCAACACCACAAAACCTGAAGCACGTAAGTCTGAAAAACGAATTGAAAATATCCTTGTGCCTCCCAAATTCTCTCTTGCACCAGACATGGTTTTTGATGCTAATTTTTTTCCGAAAGCACCTGCGAGGTTCTCCTTCCAGAATGGTTATATACTAATTTCAATTGTCCAAGTATCATTTTTATCATGATCATCGATATCACCATAGTCAGTACGATACCATCAGCATCAGCAGTCACTGTCATCACCAGGATCATCGAGGTCACTGTCATGACAACCATCATCATCATCATCATCACAATCATCGTCATCGTCATCATCACATCCATTGCGCAGGCGCAGGTGATTGATGAGATTGCCAAGGGTCATCATCATCATCATCATCGTCATCGTCAAGTGCAAAGGGCCAGGGGCAGAATCTTTAGTAAGCAGGAGATGTGCAATTTTATCGTCAGTATTCCGGAATAGGGGGCCATGGCTCAGTGTGCTGCCGGTAGATAGCAAGCGTTCGAGACCATGATGGATCGTGCCGCACGGGCGGCGGAAACCAAAATCTCCTCGTCAAAGGCGTCAGAGTCTGGTCCTTCAGATGGAAGGAGCTCTACCCAAGATGCCTGTACGTTTACGCGCTACCAGCGTAACGTGTTACTGCTACGAAGTACGCGTGCACAAGCCCTCGCGATTACGCGTCCTGTTAAGTGTGTATACGTGTATACAACACACACGAAGCTGAGCAAAGAAACAAAAGCAAACAACTCGAAACACTTTCAAGGTTCAGGCCGTCCCTTTTACTCACAACCAACGTGACGTTCGTCACTTCTGCTTGAGCCTCTCCTTCTTGAGAGAAAAAACATTGCAAGGCGTCCAAAAGTTGAAAAGTTCAACGGACTGCGTGCAAAAGCTGCGTTCATCGTTTCCATCTTTACATGAAACTGAACGACGTTCATGACACATTCAAATGTGCTTCCAAAACACATCGTGCAAACTGCTTTCAAAATGCAAAGCATATGCACACTGTACGTGCTGTGATCATGCGTGCAGATCACAATGTGAGATGCGCGCATTCAAAAATGCATACAAAAGCTTTTGGCCTTTTGGAAATTATGGCCTCTTCCAAAAACAAACTTCGTACCATTGTGCCTGAAAAGGGCAATGCTAGTCCGTTGCAAAGGTGTTCGTTCCAATGTCATCTTCGATGATATTGGCGTGCAATGCTAGATCACTGCAAAAGTGTTCACCTTAGCATCATCCGTTGATGATACCTGGTGCGTGAAGAGCTTGTTGCTGGTGCAATGCTAGTTCATTGCAAAGGTGTCCAAATAAGCATCACCCGATGGTGATACTCAGCATGCAAAAATCCTCACATCTTCATGGATTCCACTATGGCATCCATATATGCCATTGTCGCACACAAAACATCCAGCTCACCACATCTGGTGCGTCTCGCACATCCAAATTTCACACCCCCTTTTGAGCTGGAGTGAGACCAAAACCACACGAGAGGCGTCCAGGTCCAAGCTGCTTTCAAAAATTCCAGCGCTGCCTGGCTCATAGCCAATTCCAAATCCATCTGGATGCCCTTCGGTCCCTAGGCATCTTTGAACTGCCGGGGAATCGATGTTCCTGGAAAAACCGGCAACTGTGAACGCCCATGTTCTTTGTCATACGCTCGCAGGTAGGATGCAAAATCCAAAGCTGCTCCTTTGCTAGCTCCAGGTTTGATGTGGGTCCTCACCCACTTCTTATAGTCCCAGAAGCTTGCTCCACTGGCGATCTCATGGTAGCAATACTTCCCTTTGTATTGCCCAAAGGACATCATGGTGCGTCCCCACTGCGTCAGGCTGTCAACACCAGGTGGGAGGTCAACTGGGAGGTCATTGTCAGCCTCTTTCTGGCTGGCTGCGCCGATCACTGGAGAGGCGTCCAAGGCCGCCACTAGGGCTTCCTCGAAAAGTGTGTCATCCATTCTCACCTTTCCTGCATAGCTCGGTGCACTCTCAGTGTTCACTTGCTCCCACTCTGAAGCTGCCTCCGGTTCTGCCACCCATCGTCTCTTTGACCCATCATGCATCGCGCCAGCGGACTGCAGCGCTCCTTTCTCCGGCAAAGATGGCGGTCCAAAGCTTCCTGTCGTGTCAGCGTTCATACGCTTCTGCATCAACAGGGACAATGCCCACTCATCCTCCGGCGTCCATTTTGCTGGACTGCTGGAACTTGCCATGGCTCACCGCTTTCACTACGGTGCTGCCCACAACCACCAGGGCACCAAAGTGACCTCTAGCTCGGGACTCCTCTCCCCTATCCAGGTTTCCAAAAACAACCAAGGGAAGCGGGAGGTGAGAAGGCGGAGATATGTACATACAGTATGAACTGTGTAGTGTATACATGCTGAAGACATTGTGCATGCATCGTTTTGTCAAAGTTTGTGACACTCTCTTTGAAAGTTTGCGACGTTTCGTGGCATACATTCTTACTTGTTTGAACTGCTTTGCGTTCAACAAAAGTGGTCTGCTGTACTGAAAATCTAGTAAGCTCGACGCCTTCTTCTTTGAAGCTAAGGCCAAAACACGAACGTGAAACAAAACGCTGAAAAGTGAAAGTCAAGGAACACATCCAATGCTATTCACTGCAAATTGTCCCCCTTTCAAACTGAACATCATGCACAACTGCCAAAAGGTGCTCATTCCAACAAACAAGAACTAAGGATCTCTACGAGCTCCACGAACGGCATCGACGATCCCTCTTGCTAGTTTCTTCGTGTAGCTAGCTGTACTAGGATAGTCCACATGGTCCATAGCTGCATGCTCTAGCTTACAAGTGCAAACACCAAACCTCCTATGAAGCACAGTGCAAAAGCCTTTTGACGTCGAAGCGAACTTTAGGGTTTTCCCTATAGGTTCCCCCTGTACATTCACGCTTCCAGTCCTGCAAAGGCGTACAAAGCACTCGTTAGTCAGTCCACATTGCAACAGGACATCCTTCGTCTCAGGTCGTGACCAGATGGAATTCACCTGTGGAAGTTCAAACGAAGCACTGTGACCTAAGCTCAAGTAACTTCGAACAGCTTCAATGACCTCCGGCCACTCCTGTTCTGCTGCAGTGACGACATTCGTTGTTGAGAAGTTCCTCAAAGGGGATCCTGAGGAACATGGGGTTGATGCATGAACATGTACCCAAAGAGCTGCTTTCTCCCATTGTTGAACACAAGTCCGAACACGTACAAAGGTGGTTCTACTCTGCATCTGGGCGGTGATGCCAACATAAGGGATTCTTGGGTACTCGCATGCTCTGCGAAGAGATGAATGCTCTGAGCAACACACTTCCACGATTGCAAAATCCGAAGAAGCTCGAGCTCCTGAGCTTACAGCGTACTGCATAATCGCCAACATCTCAAGAAGTCCACTTAGTTTGACAAGGCCGATCGTGA